GGAAATAACATGAAAACTCAAACTAGTACAACTAAGGTGTCGACGGACACCACTGTAACTAAAACAAAGTCTGAACACAGGTAACCAAGAGGTTACAAACTCCAAAAAAGAGACATAAACACCCGCAAAACAAAAACTACATAAAGAAGACTATAACCAGATGCCGCTGGACTAAGCAAAACGAGAACTAAAAAATAAAAATAAAAAACAATGCACACCTGACAAACAAATATAATAAGACCTCCAGTAAACCTACCACATAACTGCACTACCACTCAAATCGGCACACAAGCCACACCCTGCTACACTAAATCCAGTCAGAGCTGCATTCGAGACTCCAGACCCAAAAAATTGCAGCCAAACTCGAATCGCTTAGACAGTTCTAGCAATGAGAAAATTTTTAATCTAGATCTAGGCTCTAATGATCATCAACACGGGAGGAAGAGTAGCCGCCACAGAAGATGAATTCTATATTATGTGAATTCTCGATAAATATTTTTTTGTCCATATTTATCTAACTACAACATCATTTTAAATTTTGAAAAGAATCCATTTTTTATAAGTTAAAACTCAATCAATCCCCAATATAAACCTCTCCTCACCCAATCACAAAACCCTAAGATTGAGACAAAAAAAAATCAGTTAGCCCCAAATAAAAAGTTCACAAAAAATCCCCCAAATAAAAAATTCAAAATCAGCCTCTTCGTCGATGTTGTCCTGAAGACCATCAAGAACTTCTGCGCCATGTGCACCGGTGAGAAGGGCATCAGAATATCCGACAAGCCCCTCCACCACAAGAGGTCATCCTTCCACCGTGTAATCCCCGATTTCATTTGCCAGCGCGACAACTTCTCTATAGGTAAAAAAAATTGAGATATAATAAGCTTGACTAAAAAATAAATGGTTTGACTTGCTATTAGTGAAAATTTTGAAAATAAACACAATTTAATATTTAGGAATCAAGTTTAATTGAGATATCCCAAAAAAATTAGAGATTCTTATGGTAACTAACAAATTTAGAGATTCTTATGCCAAAAAATTGTGATATTCCAGCAATTACGATTTTTTTCCATTCAAGTTAATGTTGTAAATCAAACAATAAATTGTTTCGAGAATAATGGATGATATAATAAACATTGATAAACTCTTATAAATTATTTATATTTAGGAATTTTCTGTGCAAATATATTGATTTTCTTTTCGTAAATAATAACAAATTATATTATTTTATGACCTAACTTCTAACTTTTTTTTTTGTGGTTTATATTATTTAATTGAAATGATATATAACTTATTTGATTGAAACAACTTATTTTTCGTCATATAATCATAGAATATAAAAATAATTATTAATTTACAAAAATTCATGACCTAAATATGAGCATATGTTAATATATAAAAAGGTGAAACATTTAGATGAAATAGTATGTAAAAATTTTGCCTAAAATTTTCGTTTTTATTGATAATGGTTTTTAATATTTTTTCTTAATTTTCATAAATTCCCCCCAAAGCAAAAGTTGATTTGAAAATCCGAGCAAATCTCTATCTATTGATATTTTATTTGTCCATATTTATTGTACTACAAAATATTTTTTAAGATTGGAAGGAACCATATATTATGTGAATTCTCGATAAACATTTTTTTCGCCCATATTTTATCAAACTACAATATCTTTCTAAATTTTGAAAAGAATCCATTTTTTTAAATGCACTCAATCGATACCCCTCCCCACCCAATCACAAAACTCTAAGATTGAGAAAATTGAGAAAAAAAAAAAATCAGTTAACCCCAAATAAAAAAAATCACAAAAACCCCCCAAATAAAAATTTCAGAATCAGCCTACCGAATCCTAGGGTTTACTCGACATAACGATCGGTGCCCAGCCCGCCCGCCAGCCAGATCGTGATGGAGCTCTTCGTCGACGTTGTCCCGGAGACCGTCAAGTACTTCCGCGCCATGTGCACCGGTGAGAAGGGCATCAGAATATCCGACAAGCCCCTCCACCACAACAAGGGGTCATCCTTCCATTGTGTAATCCCCTATTTCATTTGCCAGGGCGGTGACTTCACTGTAGGTAAGAGCATCGGCAGCGAGTTGATCTACGGTGCCAAGTTCACTGACGAGAACTTCGTGAGAAAGCACACCAGAACAAGGGTCCTGTTGATGGCGAACGCTGGGCCAAGGACGAACGACGCACAATTATTCATCTGGAGGATGAAGTGGCTCGACGGCAAGCACGTGATTTTTGGGCAAGTGGTGGAGGAGTACGACGTCGTAAAGGCGATGGAGAAAGTCGGGTTGGGGAGCGGCCGGACCTCAAGGCCGGTGGTGATGGCAGACTATGGCCAACTCTAGATCTGATGGTTGTGTGTCATTTAATTTGAAGTTTGTTGGAGACTATTTTTCATAACTAGTTAATAATTGTCTTTTGATTTGTTTAAATTTGAAATTAAATTTTTTTTTTCATGACTACCTAATAATTTGTCTTTTGATTTGTTTAAATTTAAAATTAAAAAATGAATTCAATGTCACATCCGTATGACTCTGGGAATCATATAAGAAGTTTGTATTATTTGATCGATTAGTACCTAAAAACATGACGCATATGGTTTTTCAAAATTTAAAGTTTTAAGATTACTAATAAATATTTTGTCAAATGGTCGCGCAGATTTGACTGAATTTCGCTTTGCTTCGTTCTTAGGTCATATTTATCTTTCAAGATTACTAATAAATATTTTGTCAAATGGTCATAGTTATCTCAACACATTTGGTCATAGTTATCTCAACACATTTTACCACACCAAATAATATATTATAATTTCATTTTTTCATACAAATGTTTTATTTTACTACAATTGCAATCCGGCCCTTGTAACCATCATAGAAATTCATCTAAAAAAAAAAAAGGATTGACATCGGTATTTAATTAAAATTTGAGATAAAAATTTACATTACCTATTATAATTTCGTTTTTCTTACAGTTTCAATTAAAAAGATTTATTTATTTTGTACTAAAGAAAACCTCTTTTATTTTTTATGATAAGAAAGAACATTTGATTTATTAATATATAGAAAATTGTATTCAATAATATCTATATAAAAAATCTTAGTTTATTCGTATAAAACAATTTTGGTGTTTTTAGATCTTTTCTAGAATACTTTTAAATGGACCGTTTAAATCACACGGTAAATTTGGTGTCCATATGAGGAAAGAATCCAAATTAATTTAAATTGTTTAAATTATTTTATCGCAAATTTTGAAAAATTTCGACTACAGAATCGTGTGAAATTTTTTATTTTTAAATTTATCTAACTACTACAACACATTTTTTAAATTTGAATTATTTTCATTACTTTTTTGTACATTAACAATTATAAATCGATTAATTGATTTTTAGTAAAATCAAATGCAAATATTTTGAGTAACATCGTCTATGATACTCTAATTAGAAATATTCTATCATAATATTCTCTGATAATACTGTGTAATAACTTATTTTTTAGGCTGGAATACATATTATTTATGCGTATAATATTTTATATCCTTTTGAATATGTTGTTTAGAAAAATATATTACACATCCTATATTTATATATTTAGATGTTAAATTAAGTGCTTTTAAACATATTTTTCTTCCAAAATAGTTTATAAAAAATTTAAGCGACTTGACAAAATTTCAAGAATAATATAGAATATTTTAGGTATTTTTACATATGTTATATACTAATTTAGTTTTTTTTTTAATATTTAAATAGACATGTGTTATGTTCTTTTATACAAGTTAATATAATGTGTAGTTTTTAAATAATTCCGCTTTTATTTGGGTTTGAACTTGAAAAATTCAAAATATTTTTCTCCAATCTCACCTTTAAACAGATTGACCATAAATAGGAGTCATGCTCAATCCTTATCTCATGTTGACTTCTTGACCAGTTATATGTTGGTGCCTCTCGCGTTACTAAGTGAAATGTTTGAAAAATTTAATTTGTGGAGAAGGTTCAACAATATAATTTTCAATAATTATATTTATAGTAAAGTTTTAAAAAAGTTTTGAAAAACAAACATCACCATAAAGTTTTAAAAAAGTTTTAAAAGTCTTTCCCGTAAACATAGGTCATTTTAACTTTTATATAAATAAAAAATAAGAAAAAAAAAAAACATAGGTCATTTTCCGTCATTTTCAAACAGGGGTGTGCGGCTAGGCTTTCTTCTTCCGCCATGAGAATCCTCAAAAGCACCACCAATCTTGTGGCCAACGCCAACTGGAAACTTAAAAGATTCTTCTCCGCAAGTTACTCGTCTTCGATTGTCCCCGATGTTCCGGCCTCCGGCGGTACTGCCCTGGCACAATCGTGGTGGCATCCGCCCGATCTGAAGCCCAACATCACCAGCAACAGTCTCATGCTCGCGGTGGAGCATTTGAGCAGCGACGAATTGCGCGATTACTCTGTAATCTCAACCGAAGGCGGCTCGTTCAAAGTAATACAAGACAATCTCCCTAACTTCTCTTATTTGCTCAGAGCTGAAGGTTACTGTCCTGTGAGTTCGATATGCCTATATGATATCCTATCGAGTTGCAACAAATGGATGTTGTTGAATTGTGAAAGGTTAATTAATTCTCCATATGAGCTCTTGTGGAACCCTACGACCAATGAGGTGAGACCCCTTCCTTTCTTTGGTTGGACGCCGTCAATTGCCACGTCATCCAGTTGGCAATGTCAAAGCGTAGGATTTGATCCTGCAATTGAAGACTATAAGGTCGTCCGATTTGGCTTTCTGGGAACCTATTTAAACAAAGCCCGTGCTGCGATGTTCTCACTCAAAACTGGTTCTTGGAAGGAAATTCCGTATCCTTATTGTGACGACATGGAATCCATTGCACACAGTTGTGTTCACATAAATGGCATTTCCTATTGGGTAGCTCTGATGGCCCCTTACCCGGAACCGCTCGGTCACACTGTTATTGTTTCATTCAACTTTACTAATGAGAATTTTCCTGCTCTCATCCCACTTCCCAAGAGCGAAAGGCTCGTTAGCCAGTCTTGGCCTGGAATTGTCGAGTTTCGTGGGTCGCTTGCTGCTGTTGTCGTGTATGGCGAAGGCGAATCTGATGGTAAACCTGTAGAAAAGAAGCCTTTCGATTTCGAGATTTGGGTATGGAATGACGGGTGGTCTTTAGATTCCGCATACAGTGTCCCTCCTCTTGATGATGATGATGTTTTTGTTGAAGGAGTATTGGGGCTCTACATGAATGATAAAGCTGTGCTTCAGGACTCCAAGGGTTCCCTATTGCTTTTCGATTGTCATACAAAGGTGTTGAAGGATCTTGGCATCAGTCATACCGGACATTATTCGGCGAGGATTTATCCTTATGTCCAGAGCACATAAAAGAGAGCTCCCTTTCAGTTGGATCATTATGTTGAAAGAAAACAGAGTTGATATTGGTTATGGTATGGTGACATATTTCTTTATTATTATTTTTTTATTTTTTATTTTTCGTGTTATTTTCTGAATTTTATCTGCGCTATGCAATGGTTCTTTAGCCTGTTGTTGGAAGTGCTAATTGTGATATCTTTCAGTGCATTGGTGGTGCAAATCTTTGTTTGATTATTGATCTGCTGGCCTTTATTTTACGTGTGATTGCAAGCTTAGTGAACACATTGTTTCCTTTGAGATATTCTGTCCCACATATGATATGATTATAGTCATGCTGCCCCCGATGATATGATTAGAGACTTAGAGTCATGCTCTCCCTTTCGATTTTGTTTTGAGATTTGGGTGTGGGGGAATGAGGGTTGGTCCCGCGTGGATGGGTTTGAAGTTCCTGTTTATGCTGATGTTTACTTTAAGGTATTGGGATTTTACAAGAATGATAAAGTGCTCATAAGCTCATTCAGGATTCCAATGTTAGCCTGCACCTTTACGTAATAATAATAATAATAATAATAATAACAACAACAACAACAACAACAACAACTAAACTCGTCAGTGAGTGGGGCAAAATTGCATTTTTGGTCCTACTACTTTGGCCGCGTGGCAATTTTAGTTTTGAGATCGGAGCATTTTCCTATTTAATCCTGTAATTTCAAAAGTCAATGCAATTTCAGTCCTTCCGGCACCCAGAAGTCAAATTGTGGCCGGATTTTTCACGTGGCCCGCATGTGACGCCCTCATGCCCGATTTCCTCTGACTTGCATGCCAAAAGCGGACGTGGCAAAGAAAACAGTTAAAAAAAATTCCAAAAAAACATAAAAAAACCACGTGGGAATAACATAAAAAGGCGACAGGACAATCGATTTGAGTTCACGAATCTCAGCCCCAAATTGTCAAGCTCAAAACCCTACTTCTCAAACCCAAGTACCCTAATCCCAAATTTGCCCAATTTATGAGTTTCACACACAAATTTCAGAAAACTCATATGTCGCCAATCATAGGTACAACTATTGCGACCAATGGGCAGTTATTCGAACCTCTTGGACGACTGAAAATCCCGGACGTCGATTTCGTTCATGCATTGAGTACAAGGTAATTGATGCTTCTTTTCAATACCTTTTTCCTTGTATGTAGAAGAAGGGTATGAGTTCTTCTCTTGGGTTGATCCATCTATTTGTAAAAAGTTGAAGAAAATTATTCGGGGATTGTTACGAAAATCAAATAATTTGCGTGTTGAGAATGAAGAATTGCGAGAGGAAAACATGAGATTGGTTGAATGCAAGAAGAAACTTGAGTTAGAGAACTCGGTTTGGCAAATGAAGTTGAAGTCCAATAAGAAAACCAAAATTTGGTTGCTTGTGGGGTTTGTGGCTCTGTTCTTGTACATGTTCTCAAATAACAAATGCTAGTGTAGAAGTCTGTTGGGAATATGAAATGAAAATGGTAGTTTTAGCAGTTTTTGTACTATGTTTTAACAAGTTTGTTGGACTAGGTTTGTTAGATTTGAACCATGAACTTCTATGGTGCAATTTCCATTTGTTGTAATGAATTGTCTTGTGTGTGATTCAAAGTTCAAAGTGTTTATTCTCTGTTAAAAGTTCAAAGTGTTTATGCCATGTTTATGGAAATTCAAAATACCTGAAATGGTTTGCATTAGTTTGTGAAATGTGTATTATTTATAATGTAGCTCATAACCGATAACATGGTAGCAATAACCTACCAACCAAAAAACCACCCATAAACCATGAACACACTAATATGCTAGCAAGGCACCTCAGCTTGACAACATGTTCAAAGTTCAATAAACACATAAACTGGCAGAAACAATCAATAAACACACCTCAGCTTGACAATATGTTCAACACTAAATAAACACATAAGAAGCAGTTCGCTTTGCACCATCTGTAGCTCAACAATCAATAAAGACAATACATAACTTAAAACCATCACATTAACTGGAAAGTCATATATATAAACCATAAATGAAGGTAATAAACCTGTTATACGTAGGCCGATGTTGTACATACATTGTTGCATGAACACATGAACACACTGTTAGCCCATAAAACTCGGACGGAGACAGATCGGCTCGAATTCGAGGGTGAATCCTTCTCAATCGGAAGAGGATGATGGAGACGAGATCGCGCTTGAATTCCTAGACAAATATGATCGAATGTCGACTCTAGTTTAATTATTTATTGTCATTCTTATTATTTTCATCATTATCATTTAAATATTTATTAGTTATTAATTTTTATGCTTGATGGACAAGTTAGTATTACGTATATAGGAGCCTTATTTAAAGGACTCCTCCTCTTTTGTGAAGGCCAGTTGATTTGGAACTAAGAAATACGTATTCAGAAGAAAAATCTCTTTTCTTATTTTCCATTCGTATGATGCGCTGCATAAAAATTATTAGCCTTCATTAAACAAAATAAATTCTTAACACCGAATAAATTTCAAAGGTTCTACCTCGAAACGTAGATCCCTATTTTCGACCGAAGATCTTAATGGAGTGTGGGTTCGAAAACAATAGAAGGTCTACCTAGAGTGTCATTGTTGTTGTCAGTCTTGGCAGCCTTAGTTTTTATAGGATATGATGTATCTTCCTTCATGACGTAGAAGAAGGAGACAACATTGTCTTCAATCGTGTCTTCAATCACCACCAATCTTGTGGCCAACGCCAACTATAAATTCCAAAAGATCCTCTTTGCAACTTATTCGCCTTCGATTGTCCCGATATTCCGGCCTCCGGCGGTACTTGATATGAAGCATCCGTCCGATCTGAAGCCCAACATCACCAGCAACAGTCTCATGCTCGCGGTGGAGCATCTGAGCCTCAGCAGAACAAAAACCCGCGATTACTCTGTAATCTCAACCGAAGGCGGCTCGTTCAAAGTAGTACACGAAAATCTCCCCAATTTCTCTATGCTCAGAGCTCAAACTTATGATGATGTCCTAGCGAGCTGCAACAAATGGATGTTTTTGGAGTGTAAAGCGGGTAGTGAACCTCCATATGAGCTCTTGTGGAATCCTACGACCTACGAGGTGAGACCCCTTCCGGTATTTGCTTGGCCGCCGTGTGATAGAGTATGTTTGTGTTATGGTTGGAGTTGTAGGGGCATTGGGTTTGATCCTTCATCTGAGGACTATAAGGTGATCCGATTTGGCCATATGGAGAACTGTGATCATGAAGCCCAGGCTGTGTTGTTCTCGCTCAAAACTGGTTCTTGGAAGCTAATCCTGAATCCTCATTTTCCCAACTTTGATGAAAAACATATTGTTCACATAAATGGAATTACCTATTGGATAGCTAGCCGGTTAGGTTCCGAGTATAGATGTCTGTCGGGCAAGGATGATTCGCGTGAAAGATCTCGCTGTTGTTTCGTTTGATTTTGTTAATGAGATATTTCCATCTGTCATCCGTATGATTCCTAAGAGCAAAAGGCTCTTTAACATTTCTCATTTCTGCATTTTCGAGTTTCATGGGTCGCTTGCCACTATTTTCTGTGATCGTGTTGGGTTCGAGATTTGGGTATGGAAATCGAAGAACAAGTGGTCTCTTTATTCCACGTACAATTTCGATGATGATGATGATGTTTGTGTTGAGCGTGTATTGGGACTCTACAAGAATGATAAAGCTCTGTTTCAGGATTCAAAGGGTTCTCTACTGCTTTACGATTGTCATGCCCGGGAGTTGAAGGATCTCGGCATTCGTGGTTCTTCTCTCATGTTTTATCCTTATGTCCAGAGCACGAAAAATAATTGATCGGCTTTTATTTTACGTGCGATTGCAAGTGTAGTTAGTGAATAAATTGTGTTTGTTTGAGATATTCTGGCTCGTAATTATATGATAAGAGTTGTGCTGTGTTCCCCCTTTCGATTTTATCTCTGGTTAGAAAATTATTCCTCCATCTGAAATGGTAACCAACTGATATTCAGGTTTGTCTTGAAACAAAACCATAACAATTGATTGTTGGTATAAGTCACATGCACACAACATATGTTTGAGTTCTCACTCCATACTTTTTTGGTCATATTTTCACGGGTACATGCACACCAAATTATATTGATTCAACTTTCAATTATTCTCAATCTCAACTTGTTATTTATTTTATTTTTTTAAGACACCTCGTTGTATTCTTAAAATTGGGTGGTGGTCTAGTTGTAAGATTTCGAATCATTGATAAATTATTTTCAAGTTTATAATAATCTATCTATCTATATATATATATTTATCTATCTATATTAATATTGCACGGACTAAAAAGTACTTATGTTTATATTATTTTTAATGACAAAATTGTAATGACAATTATAATATCTCAATGAGTAATAAATCACAATTAACAAAAATTCTATGGAGCTTGACACATGTCCAAAGTGTATTTATTGCAGAACAAGTGTCAATACACTATTGATGAATAAGTGTGGATGACTCCATAAGCCGAGCCATCCGATGGCTCCATAGCAAAACTGTCACAGTTAAATACTTACCTCAATAAAATAGAATTTTAACAAAAAACATAACTTTTTCAAAAATAAAAACTAAACAAAATAGATTTAAATATATGAAAAAAATATTAACTAATTAATATATTTTTTTTTTTTTTCCGAAACTATAAATTTTATACATCAAAAGGTTAGGAGTGTCATTGTTGTTGTCAGTTTGGGCAGCGCTAGTTAGGGGTGAGCAAAACTGAGCCGAACTGTGCAATTCTGTGCAGTTTGGTTCGGTTTTTTTAATGTAATAAATTTTAGGTTCGGTTTCGGTTCGGCGTTTTCCTACATTGCGGTGCGCTGTGGTGCGGTTATAGTTTTTTATAAGTTAGGTTATCGGTTTTGTTCGGTTCGGTGGTGTTTTGCACTTAATCGCACCAAAATGAATAAAATGTATAGAAAAACCGATATAAAACCGAAAACTAAGCCGAACCATGAATTTCAGTGCGGTTCGGTTCGGTTTCGGTTTGGTTTTTTCTAAGTTGCGGTGCAGTTTGGATATTTTCTTGGTAAGTTTGGTTCTTTTAGTTTTTTGCGGTTCAGTGCGGTATTTTACCGAATCGCACCGCTGATCACCCATACCGTTAGTTTTTAGAGGAGATGACAAACCTTCCTTCACGACGTGGAAGAAGGCGACAACATTATCTTCAAACAGGTCAGCGTCGACACGTTTGAAGGTTTTTTTTTTTTTTAATAATGACATATGTGTAAAATTCGTTCTTATGGACCAACTTTTGCTGGTCCACAGGATATTATGACCTATTTTTTTTTTATTCCCATCTTTTTTTAGGAATATAATTATTATAAAAAAAAATATTTTTTATCCTCTTTATATCATTTATGTTATAGAACATTTAGATGTTTAATTGATGTTTTTTAATAGCTTATGTTAGTATATTAAAGGAAATAACTTTGCAAGCTCACTAACTAAGCATAAATTATTGCACATATACTAGCATAATTTTTTAGTTGCAAACATACAAAATCTTACATAAATATTTGCGTACATATATTTTCTCAAATTTTAACTACCTTTTTTAAGATATTTATTAAGGTAGTTGCATGCAATTATTAATTTCTAATTTAATTGGATTTCTCTCTCCACGTTCAATTTTCTCTCCTCTTGCACGTCATTGTTGTAAATCTTCATTATCTTGTTCCCTGAATAATAGCACAATTAATGGCGAAAATTGACCACTCGTCTAGCCGCCGCCACGGACGATTCCATCCAGGCAAGATCTTTGGCAACCCTCCACTATTTGTACCTGCGCCAGGCTGCCTGGATGAAGCAGGCGGTCCATGTGTGCCAGTGGCGCGAGTAAAACCAAAAATGTGTTGCATCCGCTTGCTGTGGAGGCGGTGAAATTGGTTAGCCATGAATTTTAGGTCGTTAGCTCGTAGGGGAAATGCACGCCTCGACCTGGACAAGGGCCTGCATGGTTCGGGTGGATGATGGCAGGCTAGTGGCTGCTGACCTCAGGAGAAGGGCCCACGCAAGGAGCTCCTCTACGCAAAATTCTTTCGGGCAGAGAGTGATGGAGTTGAAGAATCCCGGTCGGCTGCCATTGGTGGTGGAGCTTTCGAGTTGGCGACATGAGGATAGTTTCTACCGGATCTGTTTTCAATGTTTATTTGACGTTTATTTATAGTTTATGTTTGATATATTAGCAAATTTTTTTTGTTGATGAGGAAATTGATATGAGACGACAAATGAGCAATTTTTTTTATTATTATTGTTTATATTGGTTTTGGATATTTATATTAATGTTTGTTGTTTCGTTTTTGTTTAGTAAATTTGTCGTGTGTATGTTTTAGTTGTTGAGTACCTTTTGTAAATTGATATACTGAGTATAAAAGCAACATATACGGAAAATTATTCTTTGGCTAGTGAAATTTATCGGCGATATCGCCGCCATCTTCGGAAACATCCACTCCGCCACCGCCAAACTCGTGAAGGGCGACAAATCAATCGACTTAAACCGCCAATCTCCTCTTTCACGCCATTATTGTAAATCTTCATTTAAATATACACTTTTATTGTAAACTTACTGACTTTGTCTTTTTTAATTTTATATTTAGTTTATTTGTAATTTATAACATGTTTAGATTATCAAATATCGTCACATTACCAAAAAATTGTAATCATATATCAAACATAAACTATTAATAATCGTCGAACAAACATTGAAATTCAAAATTCATATAAAATATACACCCTCAACTTCAAATCATAAACCCGCAAATTCACCCACAAATTCAGGTCCCAAACCCTAGAAATATACACTCATAATTTTTGTTGTATCGAGTTTTTCGTGATGGCAGCACCGACAGATCGGGACATCGACGACGTATGTGTGGAGGCGCAACCGGAGCAACAGACCAAGCGATAGGGTTGCAACTCGTTTGATCGCGGTTGGAGTCTCCATCTTGGCGAACGGCGGAGACTGAAAGTTCAGACTCGGATTGACGACGAATGGAGAAGCTCGGCCTCTTTTCCTATTCGACCTGATGACGGTTCTAATTACCTTGCGCTCCGCCCAATGCTCCTTGATTGAGTATGACGTGGGCTGCGGTCATCGTCTTGTGCGGTGGCGGCACCGGCACCCGCAGCCTACTTGAGGGGCAACGACGAGGGTTAGTGTCGCAGAGGGGATTTGTAATTTTTATTTTATTTTTTTAAAAAAAGTGAACAATAGAAATTTTAGCTCAGGAAATGGGAAAAGACAGATGAAAAAAGGGTGTGTGATGGGTAGTATTTAATAGTTATTAATAATCTACATATTTATATTAGGTTAGGTATCGATACAAATATTTTTTATATAATATTTTTTTAATTATTTAACAATCAACTAAGTATATATGTAAATTGGCATATTTATTTTGTATGTAGTGGATTGGGTTGGGCTGTTAAGCTTGCACCTTTAATTTGGGGTCTATTAAACCGAGTATTATGAAAGACTTGGTTCGTAGCAACAGAGAGAGCTTGGATTTTCAAACAGGGGTGTGCGGCGGCTAGGCTTTCTTCTTCCGCCATGGGAATCCTCAAATTCACCACCAATCTTGTGGCCAACGCCAAATACAAATATAAAAAATTCCTCTCAGCAAGTTACTCGTCTTCGATTGTCCGCGATGTTCCGGCCTCCGGCCGCGGTACTTGCCTGGTAGAAACGTGGTGGCATCCGCCCTATCTGAAGCCCAACATCAGCAGCAACAGTCTCATGCTCGCGGTGGAGCATGTGAGCAGCAGCAAAACAAAAACCCGCGATTACTCTGTAATCTCAACCGAAGGCGGCTCGTTCAAAGTAGTACACGAAAATCTCCCCAATTTCTCTATGCTCAGAGCTCAAACTTATTACGATGTCCTAGCGAGCTGCAACAAATGGATGTTTTTGTGGTGTAAAGCGGTTAGGGAATTTGAACATATGCTCCTGTGGAATCCTACGACCTACGAGGTGAGACCCCTTCCTGTATTTGGTTGGCCGCCGCTCCTGCGTGATGGAGTAACTTTGTATGACGGTTGGACTTGCTGGGGCCTAGGGTTTGATCCTTCATCTGAGGACTATAAAGTGATCCGATTTGGCCATATGGAGCCCGGTGATGATGAAGCTCATGCTGTGTTGTTCTCGCTCAAAACTGGTTCTTGGAAGGTAATTCCGGATCATCATTTTCCCGTCATCGAACCTTTTCATGAAAAACATGTTCAAATAAATGGAATTACCTATTGGATAGCTAGCCGGGTAGGTTCCGAGTGGAGATGTCTGTCGGGCGAGGATGATACCCTGGAAGATCTCGCTGTTGTTTCGTTTGACTTTGTTAATGAGAACTTTCCACCTCTCATCCCTACGATTCCTAAGAGCGATAGACTCTTTAACATGTCATGTTTTCGCATTGCC